ATTATTTATCCTTGGTAAAACCTCACATCACTTCCATTCAATCTGGTTTTCAATTCGGAAACGACACCATCGATAATCATTACTCTTTAGAGCGTTATTTCTTCACAGTTAGTTAGCCCGACACTGCTCGCTAGTGTACTAAAATTAATCAATCTTCGATTATCACCCATTGATCTTCTCAGGATGTCTTCAAGTCTCTTTAATGTAATCCACCATTCCTTTCAACATACAATGCTGTATGATACAAGGGAAAACACTTAGTGATTCAGAATATTGAAGGCGTGTAAATGGTAAAACAACAACGCATTTCTACTCACACCGACTCCAATAGGGAAAAAACCCATTAAGAATCCTGGATGAAACAAGTAAAATCTCTGGCAATATGTACGTATTCAGTTGATTTGTATCAACAGACGCGTCTCTTAAACGCTTAAAATACAATTAAACCCAAACCCGGAAAATTGAGGCACACATGGAAAAAACATTAATTCAGAATCTATCTGATATCACGGTATTGTAAGTACAGAATCTCGACAAGAATTCAATGGTGCTAACCCAGACGTCAATCCGAACTATTAGTTTCGAAATGAACGCTCAAAATCAATGAAGCCCTAATCCCGAATTAAGGCAAAAAATGGGAAAAACGTAATTTCGTTGACTCTATCTGAATTCACGTATGTAAGTACAACTCTTGGCAGGAGAAATTCTAATGGGGTGCAAAACCTGACGTCAATCGACTATTAGTTTCCGAAAAAATTAAACGCTTGACTTCAAATGAAGCCCATATCCCAAATTTTGGGCAAAAAATGGGAAAAAAAACTAATTTTGTAGAAATCCTACTGAAATCACGTATTGTAACGTACAACTCTCGACGAGAAATTAAATGGTGCAAACCAGACGTCAATCGACTATTAGTTTCGAAATTAAACGCTCAACATCAAATGAGGACGAAGATCCCGCTATTGGGCAAAAAATGATGGGGGGAAAAATTTAATTCGTAGATATATTTGAAATCAACGTATGTAAGTACAGATGTTCGACGAAAAATTCAATGGCTGCAAACCCAGTCGTCAATCCGACTATTAGTTTCTAAAATAAAACGCCTGAATCAAATGAAGCCCAAATCCGAAATAGGGGCAAAAAAATGGGGGAAAACTTAATTTTGTAGAATTCTATCTGAAAATCAAGTTATGAAGTAAAACTCTCGACGAGAAATTCAATGGTGCAAAACCAGACGTAAATACGACTATTAGTTCGAAATTAAACGCTCAAAATCAAATGAGGACCAAAATCCCGTATTGGGGCAAAAAATGAGGAAAAATTTAATTTCCGTAGGAATATATTGAAATCACGTATGTAAGTACAGATGTCGAACGAAAATTCAATGCTGCAAACAGTCGTCCATTCCGACTATTAGTTTCTTTATTAAACGCCTGAAATAATGAAGCCAAAATCCCGAAATGGGGCAAAAAATGGAAAATCTAATTTCGTATAATCAATCTGAAATCCCGTATATAAGTAACAACTCTCGCAAAAAATTCGAATGGTCGCAAACCAGTCGTCATCCGACTATTAGTTTAAAAAGTACTATGCTTGAAATCAAATGAAGGCCAAATAAACCCGAAATTGGGGCAAAAATGGGAAAAAACTTAATTTTGTATATGTTATCTAAATGCACGTCATTAAGTACAGATGTCGACGGGAAAAATTCAAATCTGGCAAACCAGCTCTTCAATCCGAAAATTAGTTTTCGAAATTGAACGCTTGAAATCAAAATGAAGCGCAAATCCCGAATGGGGGGCAAAAAATGTGGAAAAACTTAATTTCGTATAATCTATTGAAATCACGTATGTAAGTACAACTCGGACGAGCAAATCAATTGGCGCAACAAACCAGGCGTAATTCGACTATGAACGTTTTTTCGAATTAATGTTTTGTTTTGCGCCTTAAAATTTTTTTGGTTTTCAAAATAAATACTTTGCAGCAACAAATATGCCATACTGTGTTTTGCTTATTAATGTATACATTTGTCAGTTCATTTTAAAAGCTTCTCACTATAAAGAGTGGAATATTGTTTTATTATGAAGGAAACTTTCTGAAGGTAAGAATGTTTGCTAGGTGGTAATGATTAGGTCAAGAAATGTAATAAACATGGAAGATTTCAAAATCTTGAAAACTGTATTCCATCTGAGTCACTACATAGAATCAAATCTTTTAAAGGAAACAATTTTTGGGTTTTTCAAAATATTCTGATTCTGAAAGTTAATTATGGTATGTCTGTGTTTTTCTAGCACATTCTTTGATTACAGACAGTTGTAGCACAAAGGGGAATTAAAAAAAACAAGTTATTAAATACATATTCAATAATTATTTATTTTTTGTTGAAGTTATGCAAAGCACCTGATATAAAGCTTGGCAGCTAGTAATCTGCATAGGAAAAGGGGATGAAAAGAGAACACGGCCAAATTTGACATTGTATACTAGTGTTATTGATTTTTAGTTAACTTTGTCATGTATTTTTAATGCCTGGATGCAATCGAATAAACTGAATAATGTGTCAATAACTTGGCTTGTTTAATAAATTCCTTTTTTATAGTCAACTGTCCTTATAATGCAACGAGCGGTCAAAGTTAATGCTTAGATACCAAGAATTGTTTTTAACAGACAGTGAAACCATTTTCAAAATGCAAGTCTGCTTTTGATGCAGATTTCAAAAGTCTCTTCAATATTAACAACGAAATATTACTATCTCTACGGCAATATCACTTGTCCCCGATTGCTGCATTGTTTGACGCGAAAATCAAAATCAGACATAAACAACACTCTTACTTTCCAACGTCAAGTGATGAGGTGAATTGTAGACGTACATCACGTAATCGTCTTGCGCCTTCTGAGAGTCTAGGAATCCCCGACCAGGAGTGCGAGAGACAGGCCCTATAACTCCCATATAACGTGGTTGGAAACCATTATGGTGGCGCGCTCTGCTGCATCACCTTCTTTACAGGCCACTAAACAGGAACTGCTGCCAACGATACTTTTACGTGCGTTATGCTGAGTGAGTTGCGCGGGTTCGCAAGCAGGCCTATAATGTTACAAAAGAACAACGTCTACCGTTCGCCGCTTTCTTCAGAGGTTTCTTACAAGTAGACATTAAGAATATTGTACATTTAGAAGACACTTTTCCGTATTTCTCACAATTACTCAATTTGTATGTGGGAAAGTTGGCGAGCCTAACTGCAGCTGCACCCAGACGACACTAGCGCTTCCTAGAGTAGCCAACCTCGAGCTTTGTCCCCAATTTTGAATAGGAGTTGCCGGGCCCTGGCGAGAGAGGAGGTACTCGTATTTGCTGGCGCCCTCTTTTGCGAATGCGTGGCAGAGCCAGCCGGAGTCTATCCACTGGCAAGTGCCAGGCTCAGCTAGCTGCACAGTTGATTTCCTCGCGCGTAAGCAGCGGGGGAAAAAAAGAGTAAAAAAAATTAATTTTCTTTCATGATTCAGTACAAATATATTGAAAAATGGCACACACGACAGATTTTGTTGAAAAATAATTAGGGTATTCTAAAGCTCCCAGATAACCCATCAGCTTTGCCACTGAAAAGCAGTATTTTAATTAAGGTATTATTATAAATATAAAATCTCGATGGGATTATTTTTCGGCCTAGCAGAGGCGATGTCTTCTCAAAGAATTTACAGAAGACACCTGATAACAAAAGTGATAACTTGGGGAGTAGAAGGTGAAGTCTGGCAACTACTTTTGCTTTGCTACTGTTGCTTTCACCGTCTTGGTCTCAGCACTTGAACAAGTGAGATCCACTGCGTTCTTTGCTAGTTATTGGTACTTCGCCTCAGGAAAGGGCACTTTCTCCGTCACTCGGATCTTTTGAATCTCCCTCTGAAAAGTAGGCACCTATGGATTTGCCACACTTTGCGCAAACAGGACCAACCTCTGCCATTCACCATTGTTGTGAAGGATTAGGCACATACTGCCGCACGCGAAGATTATAAAATCCAAACTAATCCTCTCTGGGAGAGAAAGGAGATTGAACGACAGGATCAGAGTAGGAGTGCTCTCTCTCTCTCTCTCTTTGCCATGCTCCTTCCTCTTGTTCCTGAACACCTCAGTGACACCGTGGCTCTAAAAGAAATAGGGAAGATCCTCTTCAGTATCAGATGCGAAATCGTCGTGGTTGACCACACCCTTACTAAGGTTAATGATAGGGAGATGGCTCACTTCCACTTGGGAGGACGGCGTTCTGCTTAGTTTTCAGGATCTCTCTGCCCGTCAATGTGCGCTTCAAAGCGGTTCCATTGATTTGTCGCATAACCGCTTGGAGCTTACCGAACGAGTCGTCTTTGGCTCGCGCGAGACGGACTACACTGACTCCTCGGTGCATGTCATAAAAAGGAAACGTTCTTTGGAGTGAGGGAAAATAAATATTCAGGTCAACTTTACGTCAAAACATCGCCTCTTCCTTCCGGAAGAGGGCAAGGGGTTGATTTTATACTCCTTATACTCTTAAGACTGAAGCGGGTTCTTCTTTGCGCCCCCCCCCCTCGTCCACCACGGAGCCCAAGAAGCTCCCCCGGCAGTTCAGTCAAAAACCTAGTCCGAGCCGATTGATCGGCAGTGGGTTAGCTCTCGACTGCCCGTCTATAGAAGAGGCAGAGGCCAAACAAAGTGTATTGGGACCTACAAGGTGCAAAGGCCTTCCCTCAGACCCCAGCGCTCACCAATGCTCGCACAGCGAACAAGACTAGAACGGATAAATCCACAAGAAACCAGCGTCAAGGCGACAGTCGGGAACACAGACCCCTCAACTCTCAGGTCACTCATTCTCTTTGACATAGGTCGCCATGCACGGCAAACACATGGATGGGTGTTCAGCTTACAGAGAAGGCCAGTGAAATGAAAAGCAGGAGGATGAAAGATGGAACACATAAAGAGTCTTCTCTGCATCCCTCGACACGCAATTTGTTTTGTTGAATTTAAAGACCAATTATGATTGATTGAAACAGTATATTTTATGTACAAACAACACAATTTCATATCTACATAGGACAATAAAAAAAATGTATACATATGTATATACATTTTACAATATGGAAGCTATATGCTCATGACCATTTGCATTTGCTAATAAGCTAGTCAGAAGACTTGCAGCATACAAAAAATAGTGAGAAATGCATTTATAAATGCACTATATCAGAGGTCTCCAAAATTTATTTCAACTGGCAGCAAAAACATTCCTCAGAAATAAAATTCACCAAAATTTCAAAGTAAACTATATTAGATATTTATATAACTGTTTTTTATATCAAGAAATGGAGAAAAACATCTTAGAGGTTAAAATGAAACCTTTAGAATCTTATTATAACTGCTTTGATATTATCACAAATAATTATTTACTAATAAAAATAATTTATAAAAATAATTATGTTTATTATGAAAATTTACTTAGAAAAATTACTAGAACTTATCGTGTTTTCTGTAAATTGTTTACCTTTTACACAAAAACTCCCAAACTAAATTAATTCATTACAGCATTTTGTTTTCCTAAATAATATTGGAGACCTCTGGATTATATACTTCAGTAGATATGGGTCCACAAAATTTTATAAGCCAGTTATTATACACAAAAAACACCTTCTTAAACCAACAAATAAATATAATTTTTTTAACAGACAATTTCATGTTTGCAGCATCAGCTGAAAGATTTCCTCCAGAAGACGGATCCCAATAAATTTTCTTTAGTTATTACTAGTAACCAATAATAATAAATAAGAATATTAATAAAGGAGATTTCTTCAAGATAAATATTCATATTCAATAAGTCATAAGTGACAGCTTTTCTTCAATATTTGTCACAGAAAATTGGTACAAAAAAGGCTAATTTAAAAGGATTATTAAATGCTGAAGTTTCAAGCCCTTACAATAGTAGAAATGCAGAATAGTATTCAAGAAAACCTTAACAGTCACCCTGTATAACCCCAGCCATAGGACGGTTCTGCCTACAATTTGCATAATTTCTACATAAATCAGAAATTTACTTTGTTGTATCTCTAATTGCAGCTTATGTTACAAAAAATTATAAATATTATTGTACACTGCCTACATAAATTCACAAAGCTTATATTTGCAGCAAAATTAACTTACATTTCTTGTGAGCAGATGGCTTTAAAAAAAAGTACATGAATAGTAAATATTTTTTTCTAAACGATATCAACTTCACCTAAACATTGGAATACATTCTAAGTTGCTTATATCCAAAATATTATAGTGGGTATTACTGCTATTTGCAATATTATCAGTGCATTTATATTGAATGCTTTGTACTAGTCTACCTCTGCAGAACTACTAATGCTTATAATTACGTAAGAAAGTGATATTTATGTATAATACTGTTGACTTTCTTAGATGAATGCATAAGGAATTATTGCATAACTTTCATTTAAACCCCACTAATTCTTTACGTTCATACAGGCAAGTGGCCCCCAAAACTTTAGTAATGTTGCCAAATAAAAAGCTTAAACTGAAAATATAAAAATGTATGCATATAGATTTATATATTTATATATATTATAAATAGTTACTTCAGTGTATCAATTAGTTAACATTTTTGGGCTGTACTCAAATATATAATACAATGTTATGCGATGCTTAAAGATTTTTCTGGAAAAATAGTGTAAGCGTTACATGAATGCAATGTTTATACAATAACCTGAGAATGTTGATGTGTGTTGACACATTACATTTTTCTATTGAATCATATATTCCACAAATATTTCCACTTGCATTCACGTTATAAAAAAATAATCTAGTGACAACTGAATATTCCTCTTTGGGTTACTACAAACATTGCTGGCAGAGATGCAAATATGTATGAAAAATGTAGGAAATCTTTATGAAATGCAACAGGATAAAAGAAAATGCAAATCATTTCCAGAATGTTTAAGCAAGTTTTCACACTTTAGGTACTTCTCTATTTAGGAGACTAGTTAGTTTGTCTTATTTAACAAGCTAGTGCACAATTTACAGAAGGATACCAAGAAAACATTTTGTGTCCAATATTGCACACAACAGGCCACACATCGGTAATCAAATATTGATTGAAAATATAATTTTTTCTTGGCATAGGTAGTTTTTAAGATAATCAATGCATATCTGTCGAACACATGAAGTAGCTCATTGAAAAATAAGAAATGTGGTAATTATAAAATGTAAAATATTATCAGTTATTTTCACACTTGATGATAAATGAACATGATTCAAGGCACCTGCAAATAAACTACTGAGTACATGTATGGAATTACATAAGGCTCAAACTTTCATGGGAATGGAGTAAGTTTTTAAAAATGTATCCTTAAAAAAGTGAGATTTCTGAAGCAAAATTCATTTCAAAATGTGTGATAACAGGTTGTCAATACAATCATTGAAATATACATTGCTCACTAAACTTTTATCAACATTCATAGTAAGTCAGTGGATGTGGCATATATAAAATGAGATTATAATATCGATAACAAAACTGTAAATGTTTCTTGGAACTCCACTGGTAAAGATGTGAATATTGCACATGTTTAAGAAATGAAACAAATACAAAAAAAGAAATACTAATCTATAGTGTCTCTTTTTTTCCCTTTTTTTAATATTTCCTTTTCAGGAAAGCTTCTACTTGAACCTGAGTACTTCTCATTATGTGGTTCAAATCTGGCATGGTAGGAGAGGAATTCCTTTTCACAATTCATGTTGCAGCAAATTGTAGGAACAACACTTAAAAAATGTTATGGATAGGTATAATAGGGTTCATGGCCTGTAATAAAAGAAATATCCAATAATAACCTGTAACACAATCATTACTCCCATTGTGAGAAGCACATCCATGCTGGAAGTCAGGCCTGGAAGAACAGCAGTGTTGGCTGGACGTTCCCTTTGAACTTTGGCTACATGCTCCAAACCTCGCTGAATACGATTAAGCTTCTCACTATGATCTTGAAGAGTCTTCTCCATCATTGCTACGGATTCTGCTAACTTATTGCTGAAGTTAAGAAAACATCAAGAAGTCAAGAAAGTCACATAAACAAACAAATGTTATACATTCATATGAGTTATAACAAATGAAAAGTAACACACAAATGGCAGGCCTCTCAACATTCAATGAAGTTAAAAATAGGTGCCTAATGAATTTTGTCGTTCAAAAATAGCAAGGAAAAAATGCAATTATTAGAGTATTTTTATGAAAATATTAATCACCGAAGGTTTTAGGAAGTTGTACCAAATAATGAAGAAAATTGCTTTTAAAAGAACGTTAATTCTAACTTTTCTTAACATCAATTTCAAGCAATAACAGAAATATTCCAAAAGTGTAAGTTGTATTCAAGACATAAATAAATAAAAGAAAATTGAGACATAGAAATGAAGTGATCAGATAAAGATTGAAAGAAAATACAAACTTCTTGATGTTATAAAAAAAGAGGAATTGTCAAGAACCTGATGTGCAGTAACAAGGCATTTCTCAACAAACTGACATAAGAACCATTTATTCATCTAATTGAGAAGAAGAGAGTAGTTGTGGCTTTTTGAATCTGAAATGACTCACCCTTTACTAATCAATATGGAACAAAAAAAATTCAGAAATCAACTAAACTTTTAAAAGGTTGTTCAAAATTCAACTTTGTTGTTTTCAATTCTTTTGGCAGCTTTATGTTAAATCAATCATGGCAGCTTTCTACTCAGCTTTATGTTAAACCATTTGAATGCTTGATACAACAACAATAACAATAATAATAATAATAATAATAATTATAATAATAATGATAAACAATACAAAGTAGATACATAATTGTTATTTAGGTTTAAGAAAAAATATAAATACTACCTGAAACTTGATGACAGGCACACATGCTGTGCACGTGACCGGTCCCTATCAGAGTGGCTGGAATCGCTATGAAATTCTCCATCAGGTGAAGAACTACCACTGTTCTGTCTCTCTACAGCTTGAACTTTAGTTGTGATTTGATGTTTGGATGTCTTAATGACAGTAATGGAAGAGCGGGAATCAGCTGCATGCCGTGGAACCTATTGAAAGAATAAATTCATTTAAAATAAATAATAAACAATAAATAACAAACAACAGAGACTGTTTTCACTCACCATTTGAGGATCTACACTAACTATGCTTGCAGTTCGAATCATGGGTGTTCGATGTCTTGTTTTTGTTTGTATAATGTAATTATACTCGTACTGCAAAAGATCATTCCGTGGATCCCAAGGGCGAAGATCTGCATGTCTGTATACCCATTGGCCCGACACTAAATCCTAAAAAAGGTTTATTAAAAACATTACAATTATTTTTACATTGCTGAATATCATTAGTTTATTTATACCAAGGGCAAAATGCAACTATTTCCTCAATTTCATATTAAATGACCATTACATATCCAAATACTACACAGGATGCAAACATAATTTATTTTTCAATATCCTTACCTGTTCAAAATATTTTGGACTCCATTCTATACATTTCATTTTACGTTCTTTAACAGCTGCACGCTGGGCTTCTTCTAAAACAGTTTTCTCCTCAGTAGCTGCAGTCTTAAAACAACAGGAAAATGAGACTAGAACTATGACTATGTAAAAGAAGGAAGCACAATATGAAAGTTACAAATACGTGTAATATTAAAACAGATGCAATATAAAACTACTTCAGAAAGAAAAAAAATCAATAGACATAGATGAGAAAACAGCAAGATACTTATTCATACAAGATCTTGCTCCTCTTTGCACTTTAATAATCCTCTCACACTCACTGTCATACATTTTATTTGATAATAGTTGCCTATTATTGACATTGTTGCTAATGACATTCATTTATAACAACAAAGAGTTGAGCAAGAAGTGCTGAACACAGAAATTAATGTTTGTATTTCAGACCAGTGCATAGTATTTTAGTTGGAAAGCAATGCTTGTATTTTAACCTAGTATAGATGTACTTCAAGGCATCTAGAAGTTTAATATGAATTACACCTGGCAAGCGCATTGTCTATTTTTTGTGTTGAAGTCTAACATTCGTATGAATTAATAATGGATGACCCATTTACAATGACAAGGCCTTGCCATGGCCAATTACAGCAAAACCCTGTCATATGAGAATTCCACTTAAAAGAGACAAATTTCACAGTCCCAAGGTTAGCTATGGACAAGATTGTATTCCCTGCCATGCATTTCTTCTCATTTGTAAGAGATAAAGCATTGAATTTTCTTCTAGGCGACTCGGGAATTTCATCAGGGTGGTAATTGTACGGCCCAGCGCTTAAAATAGATTAGAGCAGGGATTCGAAACAACAGCGCTACCGAGGGGGGGGGGGAGAGGCTGAATTATCTTCAGGAGAGATCATTCTGCAGGCTCTTTTGGTAAGAAAGTCGCTGCAGTGTCTATTGCTTTTAGTGTTTTGTCCAATGTTTCCAATTGTTACTCTCTTGTGTCTGTATATATTGAGTAATATAGAGAAAGTTACGTAACACTGCCAAAAATTGGCTTCAAGATTTCTACGGAAATACACGTTTTGGGGATACCGACAAAGTGACTTTTTAACGTCCGGCCGTAAACACCACAAGTACCTAAACTATTATGCAATTTTTTCCCAAATAAATACACCCCGATGAATGTGGCTTCACTCGAAACTTTGCTATTTTGAAAAACATTCTTTAATTTTTGGAGGTACTTTACATGAAGCCTCAGACATTTCAAAATTTTGTCAAAAATAGCTTCAAATTTTTTTCTTTAAATTTTGTTGTAAGAATAGAGTGAAATATACTTACAGAAGTGGCATTGTTCGTATTTTCACTGTTAACTCTGAATTTTCGAAAATTGAAAGAATTTGCAATTTTTTTTCGGCTGTTTCCTATAACTACAAAATTGAAGATGGAGATTTTTCCTTCAAATAAAATTTGTTCACCATACTTAGTTCTTTCACTTACATTATGCACTTAAAAAAAAAATAGTTTTCAGGCAATATTAAAAAATAACAAAAGCAAGATTTTCTCAAAAAGACGCCTTTTTTTTTTCTTTTAACACCAAGAAGTGGGCACTGCATAATGAAGCTTGCATCAGATGCTATGTAAAACTAAATGAATAGTTGGGAAAGAAAAAACACATTCAGTTCAGCGTTCCAGTGGTTTGGGGAGAAGCTACAAGTCACCTGGAAGCCTTAGTTTTGTCTCACAAAAATTGACGGCTTTTCAAAAAAGAAGAAAAGTATAAAGACAGAATATCCAAATGCATCATCAACTCATTGGCTGGTTCAGCATGGCGAAAATTTACCAATTCCTAAGTTGCTATGTGAATGGAAAGATAATTTAACCGATGATGAAAATCCTGACAGTGAAAATGTAGACTATAGTGAGTGATTCAACATATGACTAGAACCTTCAATATGCTTTATTGTCCCCACTTCACATTAAACTTCGACTAATGAAAAATGTTGTTGAAGCAATGAACAAAGAAGGAGATTGGTTCAAGTATTTAAGAGATTTTTCCCAAACTTAGTGATGGAAAAATAAAAGAGAGAGTTTTTGTTGGGCCTGAAATGATAAATAAAGTGAGAGATTTCATCAACATCTTAGAGTTATAGAAGAACACTACCGAGGAAGATGGGACCCAGCCATGATGGGAGATTATTGTTGGTTTTTAAAGCAGGAAGACACTGCACCACAGAAACAGAAGAGCATTCATAATTAGACCTTTTGAACTATTGTTATGATTCATATGTACCTCTTCATTTCATTTCTTACTTTAATTGTCAATTACAAATGTAATTATGTTCATAATTTTGTACAACCTTCAAACTAAATTTGGATGCAGATATTAAACAAAGTGTATGAAAACCACTCGTATACAACAATTATTTAAAAGTAAATTATGGCATTCACATATTAAAAGATAAAAAATTAACGTTGCTATAACAAACAAACTTTATGTGATGGCCATTTTGTGAACTCATATCTGAAATCACCAACCTTGAATTAGTAAAAAAAAGTTACTATTAATCATGTTACCAAAAAAAGTTAAAATTTGTTGCCCATTACCATTAACCACTTCTATGTAAACCATTGCAAATAAATACTCTAAAAATTTGAAATCAGGGTACTATTTTCCATTAAACACAAAAAGTTAAAGTTAAATTATCTCAACCAGTGTAATTACTCTGCTCATAAAGTAAACAGCAGATTAGAAAATATTACTACTGAATTCCTCCCTCCTAACAGCAATTTTGTATTGCAGCCACTAGACCAGGTAGATTCTAATCAACCATAGATTGAAAATTTCGACCAAAATCAATATTCTGCTGGAGATACAAATGTTAGCGGGGAGTTCGTGGAATGAAAGGTGGTGGAGTTCCAAATTTAGACAAAAGTGACAAAAATTGCAATTGTAGGAGAAAGTCGTTGGATTTGGGAGACAGAGGTTCACCAGAGGTAGAGGCTTGTAAAGATCATTGTAAGGTGAGAGAACAAATTGCAAAGAAGTTAGAACATCCATCATCTGTAAGATCAATATTGATGCTGAGACTGTCTCAAGAGTCACTATCTCACAGACAGTGACATTGTTGAATCTCTGACAACATCACAAGAAAGTAATGAAGAAGAGGAGGTGGTATAAGAAGATGAAGAAAAAGGAGAAATGATTGAAACAGTGTCTTCAACAGAGGCAGTGAAGAGTCTGGAAAAGTTAAACTGTATGTTCAGAAAAATATAAAGGTTCCAGAGACAAACTAATCTATCTCAAACCATTATTTGAGGTAGAACAGTTAATGGAAAACAACTTCCTCAAAAAGACAAAACAAATTTCCATCAGAGAAAATTTAAGTGAGAGATTTGTATTTTCTAAATTTTTTTATGTATAAGGCAAATTATTTGAAATAAATTAGTTAAAATTCTCTTTTCAGTATAAAGTACTTTTCTCAATTACGATGGTTCAACTGCATATACAATAAATGACATGAGCTCACGAGCCACTCGCTGCAATGGACAGGTAGGTTTGTAGATGCCAGTGCTAACCTGGTCTTAGGAAGGGGACAGGACATTTGTAGAAACCATTTAAAAGGTGTAAAACAGGAATATGTACATAAAAATGAAATATCAATATAACACACACACAAAACATACTTGATCATCACGCCTTATAGCTGCAGACACATGCTGCCACAAATTTTCAGATTCAAATTCTCCTTGATGCTCAAGAGGCACAGTGAAACGCTTCAGTCGCTGGGCTCGTATCTCTGGAGTTGGCTTCCACAGAAGTTGTTGCTCCTGAAAAAAACACATTTGCTATTTCAATAATGTATACTAAAAATTAATTGAAATATTATTTATTAAGGACTTCTCTCAATGAACGGATGAGTTTAAAACTGGCTAAGTCCCTAACTTAAGCACCTATGGGCTACCTCATAACAGAAGGTGCCACAGAGACACTGTGTTGAATTGAGATGGGTACGAAGTGGAGTGCATGGGGCACTCAATGAGGAGAATAACAAAAAAATAAAAATTAACCCATAATGTGTAAATAACATGACACTCATATCAATAATACTACTTATTAGCATTCTTTTAAAATATTTTAAGAGTGACATATTTTTCATATTTTTCTCAATATCGCAAAAAGATTCCTTTTTCAGTTTTGAAACTCGGCTCTTCAAATGTTCAATTCATACCCCAGTCCTTCTATCTTTAATAAAAATGCTGCCATCCCAATATCCATCAATTGCAGCTAATGTTTCCTTCCCAAGTTTCAAGCGTCCAGATATGGCATTGGTTTGCTCAGCACCACCCAAAAAAGGCTGCAAAAAATTAAACATTAGCAACAGATCAAAACCATTATCAACCATGTGTGCTAATAACTGCAATTTGAGAATAATTGCATACCTTTAATTTGAACTCTATTTCAGTGCGATAACCAGTTTTTTCACAATCTATGAATACTTTCCCACCTAGTTCCATAGTCAGTGTACCCATAAGAATACCCTTGCAATGTGCATAGGGGATTGTCAGTGTATAATCTTCTCCTCTAGGAAGAAGTGTTAACAAGGCCACTCCATCCAAAATTGCAGATGTGGAATTTCCTGTAGAAGAGGCTTTTTTGTCAAATTCATCAACTATTAAACAAGATATAACATAACTAGATACATACCATAAAATTTTGATTTTGCTAAAATAGAAGCACTAACACAAAATCCATCTTGTCGATTAGTAACAAAGAATGCCGACACTGGAGGATGGTGCGACACCTACAAAAAAATGTTTAGTATGTAATGGAAAGTAAGTAAAGGCATTAGAAAATTAAAAAAATATAATTGGAAAAAATTAGTATTCAAATAAAAATATGTACCAAAAACATTGTAAACAGCATTGGATGCTTGAATGTTTCAAGTTATAATTCAATAGCAAAAACAGAAGATTAACAGTTGATAATATTTATTCCACCTAATTGTTAGAAGTAGAGATTGGAAGTTTGACAAAATGCCTTTTGGTTGTTGTTACTATTTTATGACTTAACAACAGGAATCACTTTATTGTACTTATGAAGTTGTTTAAGTAGATTTCCATTTTGCCTTTTTGTGCCTATTTTAGCTTCTGATGCCTATTTTTGCTATTTGTCTAATTTTTGCCCTTTTCTACCTTTTACATCATTATTTTGCTTTTTTTTCTCCTGGCATCCATCTCAATTAAGTTGGATATATACTTGCAAGCCTGGATGACATGAAGACATGATCATGCTTTGACTTTCTGAGGAAGCTGTAGCTGTGTTAAAAATCTAAATGAAGAAAGAAAATGATAGCAGGCAAGATTTTTGTTTCTTTCGATCTTCCTTTTTTCATTGATGCCGAGAGACTTTGTTTGCTCACAAGGAATCACATTCTACTTTTGGGTAAGGTCTCCTATACCTTTTGAGGACAGCTGATACATTTTCAATGTGATTCATTCTCAATGTGATTTTTTTATTGTTTACATGCCTTTATGCACCCCTACATTAGGTAGAATAAATCCCTTTTTTAATGCCTAATTTTAGTGAAAATAAACAATGTTTTGCCAGCCATTTTTAGGTAAAATACATGTGCTAGTGATTATACTAATTCAAATACCCTGAACAAAAAAAATTGTTTCAAATTACATAGTCTAATGACACTAACTAGCAATTATGAACTACAAATAAAGAATATTAACGTATAAAATGCATCAATATTTCAAATTCCACAAATAAATTGGAATAGACTAGTTAGCCAAATCATTCTGACAAACACAATGGGGTACCTACTTGCTCAGCAACATAAAAAGTGCGTGATCCATTAGGGTGATCCCAATAACAGCGAAATGTTTCTCCTAATATAGGATTATAAGGCTTTTTCAACCCTTTAGGCTTTTTGTAGAGACCAGACAAATACCACTTCACTATCAGTTTCATACGTGTGAATGCATCATCTTCTAACACAGCCCTGAAACAATTCAGCAATAATTCTGACTCAATACATAAAAACCAAATGCTGTTAACTAATAGTAAAACACACAAATCTTTAACCCACAAGAGGCAAGTGAATTTCTATCAAGCAAACATACTGCCTAACAAACATGTTTTTCATATTTCATATTACATTCATATTAAGAAGTACTAACTTTTGAGATATTCTTTTGTTTCAATGAATTAATTAAATCTATTGGTATTTGACAATCATACATGTATTTATCTTCTAATAACAAAACAAAAAAGCTCAAAGGTTAGTCTATTATAAATAGACATTAATGGTAATATATTCACACAATGTTTTATGCAGATACACAATGTTATAATTTTTTTTCTCTGCTTTGCTATTTTTATTGAATCACTCTTATTCTACAAAGTTTTTGCCCCATCATTTGATACATATGTACTGCATTTGATTGCATCACACTCCTTCAGGGGTCAATGCACACTGAATAAGTAATGCAATAGAACTAGGGCTACAACAGCATGCACTTTCTCGTATTAGTAACGGTTACATAACAATGTAATTTCTATCTATACTAACACATATCAGCGAATACATTAACAATCAAGCACATGAGATTTGAAAATCAATTATTTTAATTAAATACACCAAATCAACAATCAAAACCTGCATACAGTGAGAAATGTATAGAGATTTTTATCTTCAATTTTACATTTTTATTTTGAAAAAAGTAGTATTTTTGCATAATTTCTGCTTGAAATCAATGCAAATTTATAAAAAAAATTTTTATCAACAAGTCCAAATTTTTTCCTCGTATATAGCACAAGTGAAGAGAATGGTTTCCATCTAGAAAGAATGGTGGTGCTGGTCCCATTTTCTGCACGCTTTCCATATTTTTGAAAATTGCAAAAAATTAACATGGCAAGAGTACAATATTGAAAAAAACAGATTTTTTTCATAATTAAATGTGTTCTAGAAAATTAGATCTTATTTCAAGTTATGTACTTTTTTGAAATTATGAGAAGTTTTGTGTACTTTTTGCAAAATTTTTGAAATGGCTGATTCAAATTTCCAGCACTTCTTTTGCTAGAATCTATCAAAAGTTATCAGATCACAACAACTGCACCCCTGCAACATGGCCATAAGAAATTCTAAGAATAACTCAGAATAATTGTTGTGTGATGTTTCTGGGTGAATGGTACAGAGTTTTGGATTGACAAAGTTGTGTTAATGCATTAGCATTAGATTAAATCAATTTTCATACCTAATGCCAATTTGTAATAACTTTTACAAGTGATGGCTGAGATGTGTAAATATGGAAAAAAATTGCAGTATTATAGTTTTATGTAGCTATTACAGAAGCAAAAAGTATATGCTGTAGTAGCACCTCGAGTTTTTTATGCTGTACAAGATTTTTCTATTAAAATAAAATTTAAAAAAATCAGTCAATAAGACACCTTACATGATACAATAAAATTGAAATTTGAAAATTTGCAATTACTCAATTTTGATGAGCTGAATTCAAATGTTTGATTTCATTCTGCTGAATTTAAAAATTTACCATTTCTCAAGCTTGTGTTATCAATGGATTCCTCAAAAGTTTAAAAAACACAACATACTTGGACAGAATATCTGCATGGTAATAAGGATCTGTGAGTTTGTCCAAAAAAGACCGTGGTTCCAATATGAATGTTGGGAGCACCACTTTTGAGAGATCCATGCCAGGTCGCACTTGCTTCACTAGAAACCATATTAGAGATTTATGTTCCTCCGCTAATTCTTCAACTTGTTCTCCTTCCTATTAGAAACACATTGTCACAATATAAATCAAATACTTCAATTAAGTCCCTATTAATTTCCTAATTATATATCATTACTGAAGTTATTATTTGACTTATTATTTAACATGTTATTACTCTAAAGAGAAGCTATTTTATATTGTAATAATACTCACAGATCCAAATTCATCTGCTTCTTCGGCATAATGAATATAAGGAGTTTCAGGGGGATCTTCATATAATTCCTGCTGCTCCTCCAAACGCTTTACAGAAGTTTCAGATTCCGATTCAGAAAGAGAGCCTTGTTCAGCACCCGATAGATGGTCAACAATTCCAGCCCCTTCTTGCTGGCTTATGTCGTCCAAATCTGCAGCATGGTCAGGGCAGGGTACTACTGTTACTTGAGGACAAGGGATCTCACCAACTTCATCAGAAGCCTCATCGTCCTTGGGAGGAGAAGGTTGGTCAGAGTCTGCGAGATGTACTGGGCTGGGGCTCACGCAAGCGTTGGGACTGTTCATCCACTCACGTTCCAGAAATGCTACAGCATGGTAGAGTTGCTGGAAGAACGGACTCGGGGAGGGGCATGGGCTGGGGCTTGGCCCAGCAGACGAAGAAACAGCCAAAGTATCTAGTTTTGGAAGAAGTTTATGCTGTAAGGGGCTAGGCGTACGAGGGCAAAAGCTTTGCAAAAGACGAGCAATTGAAACTAGAGCTTCTATTTACAAGGGGAAGGGAAAATATAAAAAAACGTTTTAGTTATCAGGATCATCAGCCAAAATTATAAAATAATTATAACTCTTATACAAATAATGTGTTGCACATTACAGTTAGTTAACGTTTTGATAGTAATAAAAACTTATGATTCAAGAGAGTGAAATTTTATTCAAAAGATATCAACATATTTAAAGGAAATTAAAACGGATAAGGGGAGTCCAATGATCTTTATGGGAATAAAATCTACTAATTCTAAATTATCAAACATCATGGTATCCATTACTATAAGTAATGAGGAAAAAACAAGTTTATATGTGTTTATATGTGTGTTTATAAGTGTATACAACTTTTGTGATTATTTCTTTAAGAAAAAGTATTGGGCCCTGGATGAGTTATCACCTACTCTTTTCAATCCTTTGCATAGCAAGCAGGGTACATGTGTATCCCAATCTCACATTTTTTACTTGGGTACATTTCACTTATTTTATGATATAGAAATTTCGTTACATATTCTGAAATACTTCCATTGACAATTACGTTATAAAGAAAATAATACATTTAAGATGTTTTAAGTTTTCTACTTAAAAACCAGCACTGACGTACATTTGTATCCCACTTGGTATTCCGCATCACTAATTTTTAATCCTTATTAATTATTAGAAACAGAGACAGTAAGAGTAAAACAAGATGCAGAAAGTGTTCATCATTTAGATGTTATGAAAATTCAGTTACAATACAATAAAAATATGCATCAGTTGCCTAAAACACAAATAACGTTAAAAGAAGTATTTTGATAATGTGTTGGTGTAATAAAAGAGTATGATAGAAATCAATTTACTTAATTCTATTAACTTTGTCTTTCATTATATATTAACTGCTCAAGATAATCAAAATGTTTATATTTCAGTTAGTTATTTCATATCCCAAAGAAATCTTGCATTATATTCGAGTGGGGTACACACGTACCAAGCTTGGTATGCAGAGGGTTAACCAGTTTTATATTTAAATCCTAAATATTAATATAATATTAAAATTATTACAATTAATGCTCAATTGCCTTCATTTGTTCATTACATTATTTTCAAGACCATCTACAAAATAATTTCAATACAATACAATGATATCCTTGCATTAGGAGATAATAGTTAGTGAAGCAAAGATAGTGAATATTTTATGTTAAAAAATTGACTGGTTTTCAATGCAAAGATTACAATTTTTATAACATTACAAGAATTAATAGATATAATATTTTAATCCAAAAAAAATAGGTGTATGTAAATGAACTTAAATGCCCTGCAATCCTCTGACAAGTGTCCCTTTACAAAAACTTTTCATTATAAGAGATGCATTACGTTTTTAAGTTAAGGTGGATAACAGGATATCCTACAATAGACCACTAGAACGTTCATGTTCAGAAATCTGTTCACGAAACTGTGTTCACAAAGAATAGCTATTGTATTGTTTCAGAATTTGTGAACCTCCTTAATTTCATCAATTTTGTGGAATTTGAACATCATAAAACAATATTTTTGGGGTTTTCAATATTCCATCTACTGTATACATAATACTTTCTGGTTTAAACTTTTCTATCGTTCCTCCTTTTGTGTGGTGTAAGTGAAAGGGCTCAACTAGTACTGCATTTCCCCAAATATAAAATGAGGATTTTTCTCGCATCTCTCATTCAAAAAACACAAAGTTGTCTTGTATTCGCTGATTAAGTCTAGTTGGATAGAATTCATGTTTTTACATTGCCTTTCCATGCCATGAAACTCATAATTGAGGTATTCAATAAGCTGCAAAGGTGGTAAAAATATTGCACATATGAAAAGTAAGTAATTATATTTGCAGCTGTATTCTTAGTATCCACCAAGAAATTGCCTGGCAATTCAGGCTGGTTTTTTTAATGATCCAGTAAAGAGAGAATCCAATACAAATCACATTGCATCAAGTGAAATGTAACGTCAAAATGAATAAAAATCATTGCCGAGATTTTGTTACCTGATATGTGTTACGGAAATGAGGCCACATGAATCTGTGTTTTGCAAGAAATGGAAATGAAAGAAATGCACCTTCATAATAGAACGTATGTATCCTACATCCAACTACAAAGAAGGATGTAAAACAAATATTTTCTAAGTAAAAACTTCCCAAACTTGGAAACTTGTTGTTAATTTCACCATCATCCATGAAATAGAAGCACTGAGACTGTACACAACTCGACCACATGAACATTAAACAAATATCCAAGTATTAAGATCACAATTTCAAGTGGGCTGTTACAGAATTGTTAAAGAATCATAGGCCCCGAATAAGAGTGGGACAGAAAGAAAATCTAGTGATACAGAAGTGAAGGTTCTTAAGTGGCATCATTTGAAAGACCATGCAATTTCACTGAGCAAAACTTTCAGAGGGGCCTAGAAAGACAGAGGACCTTGAGAGTATGGGAGCAAGTCCAAAAAGAAATAATGATACAAGTGAAAATGAAGAGGCTAGAAACAAGAGCCATGATGATGATTTTAAGGAACAAGAAAATAGTATTAGCTCAGGTATAAGTCATAAGATTCTTATCCACAAGACAATTTAAAATTTTATTTTGACTAAACAGTAAGAATTGGTTAAAAATTTTAAAATTATCAGGAGGCCTCTTCAAAGTCAGGGTGGTCATCTTATTATCAAAGTCGACTAATATTCAGGAAAATATGGTATTTTTTATTTTATTGAATCATGATTATTGTAAAATAGTTTAATGAAAAGAAATCATAATTGCATTGTTACATAAGAGGTCAAAATATGGCACTACATTTAAGGGCTGTCCAAACTAAAAAATTCATTGCACAAGTAAAAGTTCCTAGTAATTTTCCTACTCTTATAGAATATCGAGTTTTGTGCCTTTACCATACTGTTGGTCATCATGTTCACACAAAATATTACACATCCTATTTAATGTATTACAAGTCACATATTATGATTTTCAAATTTATCAAAACATGCATTACCTGAACCAAATTCATTAAAGGTAACACAAAATATACACACCATGATCTGTAAAATGTTTCTCATAATCAGCTTCACTCCACTGTGTTTCATGATTGGCTGTGGAATCTTGTCCTCCAGATTTCGTGCTCATGGAGCGCACTAATAGAGATGAACAGCGCAAGGACAGTTCTAAAGCATCTAACCAGCATTTGCCAGCAGCCTGAGAAGGAGCTCTGAATATCAGATGCGAAGTAGGTAATGGCTGAATAACAGCACCTAGAAACATGAAATTCTTCAATCATATTCAGATTGTACCCATTACTTCAGGCCTATCTGCCTACTCAAACTGCCAACTTCAATATATCCCCAATTCTCATACACTGATTCATCTCATTATTCATCCTGAAAGCCTGAGCGCTCAGGATCATCTCAAGGGGTCAGAACTTCCTCAGTTTGCCACAGAAGGGTAATAAGAGAGCATATCCCACGCCTTTAGCACATGCATTAACCACCTCTCCCTGAACGAAATGCGAGGTAAGGCATGGGAAATAAACAGGGCATTGGGGCCATCTCTCCAGTGAGACAGACTGCTCGATGAAGGTAGAACAGACAACTTTCACTTTGTTCTAACATGAACTCACAACTACAGTTATCATTGCATAATTTTACTTTAATGAGAATCTCATTGTGGGACTTTTTCATTCACAAACAAAACATTGAAAACATAAAACCATAATGTTGAAAAACATTGACTTTAATAAATCTATGTTACTTTAAAAATTGCAGTGGCAACAGTTGTTGCCCTAAGCCCTTTCAGCTGTTTTATCATTTATCTTATGCACTGACAAGATGTAAAATTGAAATATGTTATGAATATGTGAGAAAATGTTATTGCACTAAGAATGCAAATATTTAATTCAATTCAATTAATTAAATTTATTTGTCAAAAAATGATTATTTGATTGTTGTATATAAAAGGTCCACATTCAAAAGAAAAATTTTATAATGTATGATTTTATTTCTAAATTTTTGAAAATATGTTTGAGTGACTGCGTCTGTCAAGAAAATTCTGGCTAAATTATCCTAAGATGTGAATAATCTGTGATGTTTTTATATAGAATGAGTTTGATATCTGTAAATCATGTATGGGCATAAGGGGAGGGGGTACTGCAATTTATTTTCATACTTGAACAACAGCGCTCTTTCTGAGGGCAGTTTCACAAATTCATTTTTTGATCAACAGAGCTTTCAAAAATTATTGTAAATCACATGTAGTAGTTTCCTTTCATGTCAAGTAGCTTTTGGGTGCAAAAGGAATCAATATTCTAAAAAACATTTACCTTGCATACACACACATACCTATTGTTTCCTTCTCAGGTCCTCGTGGTGCCCATATGGACTGTTCTAAAGGGTGGAAAAGCTTAAAACAAAATCCATCCTTTTTGGAAGGGCGTTCAATAACTTGACAGGTGTTAAGTAACACTGTGCCGACCCAATGATTGCTCTGAATAACAAAGAAATAGGATGCAATTTACACATGCTTAAAATTTTAACTCATTATGATGTAGAGAAAATCTTACCTTTGCTTTGGCACTTTTGTACAATAAAAGAAGACCTGGTTTTAAAATGCACCATAACTTTGTCCAACTCTTCAGTGTACCTCGAACTTTTAGCCAGTCAGCTAGCACCACAACAGAGGGATCCTTTAAAGAACTCAAAAGCTCATTGGCAACTCTCTTTTTCTCCCGACAATAGTTTTTCCGCTGGGCTTTGTACGATTCCTTCCTGGTCAGTTTTGAATTCGGATCTATAGGTTGAAGCTGAAATTTCACACAAGTGTTTTTATATGGAAGACTGTAGGATAGACCCACCTTCGCAACACTATTTCTACAAAAATAATGGTGAAAAGTGAATTGAAAGCTAAAGACAGTATGTGTGTCAATAGGCAGCACAGAATACCGAAGAACTTTTCTACAATCAATATATTAATTTCTGCAAACTAGATTGTGATTACATAAACTGAAAATAAATTTTTGTGAATACACATGACACACAGGTGAAGAAACTTCACAGAACACTACTATTAATAACATCACACAGAAAAACCAAATTCAATGAGCTTTGCTGCTTGCTATGAGGAATATCACAGGAGAAATTGTGTATCAACATAGATAATAGAATAGTAATTAAAAGAGGTTTGTAAGGCACAGATCATAGAAATCAATGTAACAATATTTGATTCAAGAGAAAATTTCTAGTTGGGACTTTATTAATAATTCATCTATGAGAGTTTTTTAATGATGAAGTCAAATCAAATCAAACTGCAGCAACATCATTTCAGGAAGCCAGATGGTCCTCAGAATTAGATTCTGTGAATTGGAATTATGGATACGCATGTAATTATGTACAACTTAGGCCGGTATTAAATTCTAGAAGACATTTGTCCATGATGTTTTATATAGGAATACATAACAGTGTAATAGCTCATAGAAAATTATTAGTTTTATATCAGTTCTTTGATAAAATTTACTCTTAAATGTCTGAGTTTTACCATTAATTTGGTAAGATGGGGTCCAAGAAATTCATATGGAATATTGCTTCA